TGGAACTGAATTCACTCTGTGGTTCCATTTTCAGCCAAGCAACAGGCAAGTCTAAAAGGGGAGCAATGGTCGGTCCTAAGGGGGTACACACTACTTAAAACCATCAGCCATTTGAGATCAGAAGAGCAGCATTTACCCAAGAACCAAGTTCAGAAGGATCAGGAAAGAAGGGGGAACAGAAATAGGAAACACAGGGAGGGAGCGGGATAAGCGATGTTACATCCAAGGTATTGTAACCGATGAACTGAAACAAAATGTGGATGATTTGTTGAACATTAAACTGATGATCTGCTCCATAAATCTTCACCCAATTCACAACAGAAAGTTTTTTACTTTATTAAAAAAGCATGAAGTATCAATCCTATCCTCTCTGTATGCAGGGGTGATAGGGATGGGCAACTTAGACGTTGGCTATCTAAAATGGGGGGCTATAAAGGAGCTCTGGTAGCATAGTGGTTATGAATCGGGCTGCGAACCACAAGGTCAGCAGTTCGAAACTACCAGCTGTTCCGGGGGAGAAAGATGAGGCTTTCTGCTCCCGTAAAGATTTACAAGCTCGGAAACCCTGTACAGGGTTGCTGTGAGTCAGAACCAACTCCACGGCACATAACAACAACAACATAAAGGCAAGAAGTGATTGGCTTACAAGTTTCAAGAGGGAGTTTAGTTGCAGTGTGCAGAGGAAGGCAGAATCCCCACTGAATAGTTTGTGTCTTGTCTAGATGGGTCTGGTGAAAGGAGATGCAGACAGGATTCTTATGATTCGATAACGAGTAATTGTTAACATGACTAATTGTGATCGTCACAACTGTAAAGGTAGAAATTTTGAAACAAAATGGGGAATAGTTAATCTTACAGTACAGGAACAGAGGACCGTAAGACCATCAAGGAAGAAGAGCATGAGCAGAATGTGGGACCTTATCCAGAGCAGCAGCGACACCAGAGATGGAGGCAGAGATGAAGACATGGAGAGAGGGAGCAGCTGAGGACTCTAGACTCATGAATAGAGAATGGCTGTGTGCTGGCAGCCAGGAGGCAGGCTTATAGAATGTGCCCTTTGGTTGTTTAAATGATTATATATTCCTGAGTGTTTTTGTATACACTCCCCCACCTAAAAAAAAAAAAAAAAAACCAGCGGGAATAGGAGCAAATATTATTGAGTGATGATGCACAGAGGAGACTGTAATCATTGCAATGAAATGATGGTATAAAACCGATGTTCTTCCATGTAAACCATCCACAATAAAAAAATAAAATAAAACATTGAAAATGTCTTCCTTCAATTCATCTTGAATTTACTTCATTATTGTTGCTGTTAAGTGGTGCTGAGTCAGTTCCGACTGATAGCGACCCCATATAGGGTTTTCAAGGAGCAGCTGGTGAGCTTGAACCACCGACCTTGAGGTCGAGTGCTGCGCCAGGGAAAACCACCAGGCCACACCTTCCACTCATTGCTTGGAACTCTGTTTCCACATAATGGTGAGGTACACTATTCCTAGGCTTTCGGTGACGACATGCTCAATTCTTCCTGAGCCTTCCCTGACAAAGCCTTGAACGTTCCTATATCTACATAAAGACTATCCCCAAGGTGAGGTATTCTCTAAGGCAATCTTGGAGCCCTGCTGGTGGAGTAGGGTAAGCATTAGGCTGCTGATGGAAACGTAGGCAGTTCCAACCCACTAGCTGATGGCTTTGAGGGATATCGATGAGGCTGTGTGCTTCTTCTGTAAAGATCTCGCCTCGGGAACCTTAGGGAGCAGTTCTGCCCTGGTCTGTATGGGCACGGTGACTTAGAACCGACTTGGTAAGTACGTCTCCTGAGTCCCCACCACAAGAGTCACTCTTCTTCCAGCCTTTGCCTGATGTCCAATCCCAAAGCCCTGGATGGTCATGATTTTAGTGATTCCAACAGCACCGCATTCCTGGTACCAAAACCTGTACTCATTTCACATTAGTACCGTCCCAAGTACTGCACACGAACTCCTTGGCTGAAAATCATCCCGGTTTGTTCTCTTACACTTCTGGATCACTTGACTGTATGCACGTGGAGCTTGTACACAGACCAATTAACAGTCATTGGAACAGAACAAGGGGATAATGAAGGTTTAAAATCAGGGGAGGTGTGGGCCAGGGTTGGAGCCTTTCACCACACTTGTTCAATCTGTATGCTGAGCACCTATTCTGAGAAGTTGGACCGTCTGAATTGGAAGACAGCCACCGGATTGGAGGAAGACTCATTAACAACCTCGGTAACACAGATGACACAACTTTGCTTACTCAAAGTGGAGAACTTAGAACACTTACTGATGAAGATCAGTATGGACCACACTCCAATGTAAAGAAAACAAAAATCCTCACAGATGTAGCAAAGATTGAAGTTGTCAAGGATTTCGTTTTACTTGGAGCCACAGTCACTGCTCATGGGAGTCGTCAAGAAATGTAACCACGTATAGCACTGAGGGGATCTGCCACAAAAGTCCCCTGAAAGTGTTCAAGAGCCAAGATGTCACTTTGAGGACTAAGGTGCGCCTAGCCCAAGCCATGGTACTTTCAACTGCCTGATAAGCGTGTGAAAGCTGGACGAACAAGGCATGCATGATGGTGTCCATGAAGAAGACTGCCAAAGGAACAAACAAACCCGTCTTGAAGCACAGCCAGAATGGTCCCAGGGAGAAGGGCTGACGAGACCCTGGGTCATGTACTTTGGAGTTAGTAACAGGTGGGGCCCGTCCCTGGTCAAAGACACTACGCTTGGCGAAGTCGAGGGTCAGTGGGAAAGAGGACCCTCAGTAGGACAGACTGACACATGGACTACAACAATGGGCTTCCCACGCCCTGCCATGGAGTTGCTTCAAACTCCTAAGGGCCTTATAGGGCCGAGGGGAACCACTCTTTAGGATTTCCAGTGCTGTAACTCTTTACAGGAGCAGACAGACTCATCTTAGCCCTGCGGGAGTGGCTGGAGGGTTTTCAGCCGACCTTGCAGTTAACAGCCCAGTGCTTAACCCAGTACACCACCAGCGCTCCTTCCAGCAACAGGGAAAGGCTGAGGACAGTGCCGGTCACCGCTGTGTGGGTGTTCTCTCCTACTGTACGCAGCATCGCTATAAGTCGGAACCGACTGGGTGGTACCTGACAACAGTTCTAGAGGTCAGAGGTCCTAAATGAGTCCTACTGGGCTACACTCAACTGTCAGCGGCCTGCTTTCCTTCTGGAAGCTTTCGGGGAAATTCTGTTCCCCACCTTTCCCGGCTCCCAGAAGCCTCTCCCTCCATCTTCCACACTGCCTACAGTTACAAGCACACTTCAGAACGCCTGAGGAACAATGGAATGAAAAGGTAACGGCATTTTTATATGAACTTTGGGCTGAGCCCATCTCACGCTTTCAGGACCCCTGTGATAATACCTGGATGATCCATATCTCTCCCTCCTCAAGGTCAGCTTTCCCCTTAATCACATCTGCAGCCCTAGCTCCCCTTTGTTATAGCAAGCAAAGAATACTGAATGTTGAATGTAGGATCGGCATTGGATTGTGAACCACAAGGCTGGTGGCTCAAGCCCACCCGTTGCTCCCTGGAAACCCTATAAAGGGACGCTATGAGTCAGAACCAACTCGACAGCATTTAACGCCACCATACCACCACCAGAGGAAGGAAATTTTCTGTCAGGGAAGCAGCACAGCTGGAATACTCCTTAGCACTGAGGCTGGGGACTTGCTGCTGGAGCACCTCAGGCTTGGCAGAGTAGATGCCTAGTGGCATCTGGGGGAAAATGGGTTCCCATAACTGTCCCCAAGGCCTTATGCTGTGGGCAGCTCTGGATCCCAGGCAGGGGTGAGGTCCCCAGTTTGGACACACATCCTTCCCCAGACACCGCTGGGCATGTGTGTGTTTGTGCACGCGCGCAGTGGACTCCAAGGGCAGCACAAGGCCCTCTTGGGGAGGGAGCAGAGTGTCAGGAAGGCAGGTGCTGAGCACAAGTCACCAGCTGGCAGTGGTGGAACCTTCTAGAACAGTACACGTTCCAGTTGCAGGGGCAGCTTCTACAGATCTGCTACATCGGGGCCTGATCCCACCCCCAGACCTCCAAAGTCCCCGCTGAGCCCTCTGCTGGGGTGGGGACACATCAGACAGGGGGTGGGCAGGGTCTCGAACAGAGAGGAGGCTTCAAGAGGGAGGGAGCAGGCTCCTGGAGGGAGAGCTACCATACAGGCACTTGGGACAAGAGAAATTGTGAACCCCATGGCAGGGTGGGTCCTAGCAAGGAGCTAGAGGCCGAGAGGAGAGCTGGGGTGATGGGGGAGTGGGCATCACAGAATCACTAAGGTCAAGTAGCAGGCAAGATGGCAGGAGAGGGGCCGGGGAGTGTCCAGGGCTGCGGCTCAGGGCCCCCTGGGGACCGGTTCCGAGGTGCTAGGACACACAGCGAGCCTCCCGCCTGAGAGAACGTGTTTTATTTCACTGACAGGCAATCTACGAAGCAGAGGCTCCGAGCGGCAGCGGTGGGAGCGACATCTCCGGCCCGGGGCCATCGAGCCCCTTCTGTCAGGCCCACGGTGCAGCTCCTGACCCATGGGTCTCGGGCCTCCCCCGGGGCGTCTGGGAAGCAGGAAAAGGGGGCAGAAGCGACCGCTGGGACCCCCCCGTAGGGCCCCTGAGGCCCCCATTTACACCTCCAACAGCCCCCATCCAGGCGGGCGGAGGGGAACCTCTGTAAAAATAAGCCTCAGCCCCCAAAGCAAACCGAACCGAGTCTACACAGGAAGCCTTTCGCGGGGTTCTTCTCCTGCAGTGCCGCTGGGCGAGAGCAAGGGGTGCACGGAAGACCAAAGGGGGGGACCCGCCGAAGGGGCTCCCGTGCCAGTCCCGATGCCTGCCGAAGGCGCGCGCACAGCCGTGATGTCCCCGGTCCTGATGGCCCGCTCTCGGCAGACACTCACTCACGCAGCCAGGCGCGCCGCGCGCTCCTTCCTCCCCGTGTGTGTCCATCCGCCCGCGGACTCATCTCTCCTTCACGTGGTTCTGTGCCCCGCTGGCACTGCTGCACAGAAGGCCCGTGAGGTCGTCGAGGACAGCGGTCTCTTTGGAGTCGACCAGGTTGAATTCCCGGACGAAGAGGATGAAGTGCACGTACAGAGTGTTCAAGTGGGCGTGCAGCTCGAGGGCCAGCGTCTCCTTGAAATGGGACGAGTAGATGTGGGCCAGCACGTGGAAGAGGAGTTTGCAGGTCTTCTTCACCAGGACCTCGAAGGACGCTGGGAACTCGCGGCCTGCAGCGGGAGACACGGGACGCTCAGCCCCCGATCTGCTCCACGGCTCAGGGGTCCTGGGGGCACCCTGCCCTGCAACCCCGTCCCCACGTACCGTACTTGGTGGGGAAGACGTCCTCGTCGGTGACGAGCTTCTGTACAGAGCTCATGACGAAGTCCACGTACTGCGGGGCCGTGCACTTGACCTTCTTCCCTCGTTCGTCATACCAGCAGTACTGTCTGTGACGGGAACACGCTGTCAGCAGGGGCGCCAAACCCCCTGCTGCCCCCAGCGGCCCCCCGGGGTCTCAGAGCACCTGCCCTGACCATGCCAGTCATGCGCACATCGGACGACAGCGTCAGAACGCAGCGCCACCCAGGACGTCAGCTCTTCAGATGTGTGGGTCTCCCACTCCCGAGAAGCATGTCCTCACCTCTACAGTGTCCTCTCAGCCTGGCCCCCACCCGGTCACCGGTCACCTGATCTGCACGAGCAGCTGTACCACCATTGCCCCTCCCACCACCAGTGCCTGCTGGGTCCCGGAAGACCCCTCACCCCACAGGTTCCAGGGACAATGGCCTCCTGAGAACGCAGCCCACGCGAACCCAGACAATCAGGACACAGTGAGCTCAGCCCCCGCCCCCGGGAAAAGAACTCAAACCGAAGCACCGTGTTCTCTGAGAGCCAGCAGAGCCCGGAGGAGGCGCATGCGCACAGACACAGACAAGCAGACACACGCACGCATGCGCGCGCTCACACACACACACACACACACACACACACACACACACACACACACACACACACACACGCAGACACACGCACGCATGCGCGCGCGCACACACACACGCACACACACACACACACACACACACACACACACGCATGCAAGCGCAGACTCACGTGTTGCAGGCGGCCATGGTCTGGCATGTGTCTCCAGTACAAAACTCGGAGATGGTGCTGTACTGCAGGTTGATGTGGTGGAAGAAGGTGGTGGCTGGCGGAGAAAGGGGCTGATGGTGAGGGGGGCTCGCCATGGTGATGGGCCCTGGCTGGCTGTGTATCCATGGGGAGGGGGCCGCCCCCAGCCCGGGGCAGGCAGAGCCCTAGCCACTTCATAAGCCTGTGAGCAGTGCTGGGAAAAGCCCTCGGCCTTTCGGGTGTCCGCCGGACACTCGTGGGTCATGAAGGGGCTGGAACGTGGTGCGCCCCCTAGGCAGCAGCCAACAGACCCCTCCCCCCGGGTTGGAGCCCAGTCCCCTAGGCCTGATGGGATGGGGGTGGACGCACTGTTGCTGGCCAGCCACTCGTTGAGGTCGATCTCCCGGGGCAACGCCACCAGCTCTTTGAGCTCGAAGTCAGTGATCCTGGACTTGGTGTACTCGGGTTCCAGGTAAACCTTCTTTTCCTCTGGGGCCGGCTTCTTCCCGTTCGGCTTGGCTTTAGACTTCCTGCCCAGGAGGGGGGAGAGCAAGGTCACCCACGCGCACCTGAGACGGAGACGCGACCCAGGTCAGCCAGCGGACGGGCACCTGCCCCAGGGCCTCCGCCCGCCAGTCATGGGGTCCCCTCCACTGAAGTCGCCTAGAGACTTGGGTGAGGGGGCTCCGACAGAACACGGGGGGCCGGGTTTAGAGCAGCGGGCTGCCTTTGCACACCTCCAGCAAGAGCCCCAGCCCATCGAGCCTCCCTGGGTGCTGTTATAGGGCACAGTGGGCGTAAGGTACCATGAGACGGTCCCCACATACTGACTGGCTGTGCACCCAAGGGACTGGTGGGAACGTGATCTGCCAGCGAAGCGCCGCCCACTGGGAGGGGGCTTGTCCGGCGGATGGACTCAGCCTCTTGACACCACTCCTCCCCAAGACGGGTCCAGTGGCCTAGGGCTCCGTCCCTTTCCCCGGAGAGCGACCCCCACCCTGCGCGGCACAGCGGGTACTGGTGCAGCCCACCCACACTGCTCAGTGTTGTCTGGTCTCCGAGGGGCCTGATGCTGGGGCGATGGGGTGGGGCCATCAGGCGGGCGCAGCCCCACCCCACACTTCACCTAGCTGTGATACCTTGATATCGGCTCCTCCAGGTAGCACACAAGGTCACCTTTCCAACGGGCTACTGGAGGAGACTTAAAATGTACTCCTGTAGTTTTAGGAGCCCTGATGGCGTGCTGGGGTCAGTCATGGGCTGCTAACCGCAAGGTCAGCAGTTCAAACCCAGCAGCTGCCCCCAGGGAGAAAGATGAACCCTTCGGGGCAGTCTCCTCTGTACTATAGACAGGGTCATTGCCAGCTGGGAATCAAGTTGATGGTAGCACTCACTAGACGCTACTCTGAGGACTGAGTGTGCCCCACCCAGGCGTGGTATCTTCAGTTGCCTCCAGTGTGCTTGAAGGTGGCCCTGAACCAGCCAGCTGGCGTGCCTGCCCCCCATGGACTGCCGGCAGAGAGAGAAAGCAGTCCAGCTGGACGCTCTTCAGAAGCTGGGATGGTGGCACTTAAGTCTCACATCTTTGGGACACATTATTAGGCGAGACCAATTTAACATACAGGAGAGGGGCAGTGAGAAAACGGGCGCCCCTCTGCGGCTGTATCGATAACTGTGAGGACGATGAGGGAGTGGACGGTCTCATTCTGCTGTCTACAGAGTCGCTCAGTGGGACCCCACTTGATGGAAGCCAGCTACAACAATTTCAGTCTGAATACAATGACAATCAGCAGTTAAAACACTCAGACCAGTGCTCCCTGGTCACAAGATCAAAGTCTGGAGGATGCTGATGCTGGACACAAGGCCCGGGGTCTAGGGTCACTGTCACAGAAGTGGTTACCCTGGAGGGCGAGGGGCCTTTACAGGGCTGGCCGCTGCGCTTCTCTTTCCTCTGTTTTGAAAAGTTGCTAATGGTTTATTTTAGAGAAAGAGGAGGGGAAAGTCTCCCTGAGTGCCAGGGAGTTCCTCTGTGGATTCTCCCGGCAAGCTTGGCCTTAAAAGGCGATGTGCACACACAGGGACGGGGATGAGGCCAGAGGCCCAGCCTGGGCCCTGAGGCGCACACAGACAGGCTGCTCCACAGTCCAGGCAGCTGTGGGGAGAGCCACAAGGGCTCTGCTGGGGCTCGTCCTATACTGCCCACATGTCCATGCCAAGAGGCCCACGTAGATGCCCCCAACGGTTTGGCCTTATCCCTTTACTTGCCCAAGTGGCATAGCGGAGACTGAGCAGCCTCTCACACCCTTACCCCACAAAGATGAGGCCATCAACGCCACCAGCAATAAAGGGGGGGGGGCAGGGCTGCAAGGGGGAAGTGTCCACAGCATCCTGTCCTGGGCCAGAGCCTCAGGTTCCAGTCCCTTTCCGTTCGTGGTTAAGGGGGCCCCGGGCCAGTGGCCTGTGATAAGGGGCCACCTAGGTATGCATGTCTCTGATAGGAGGGGAGCAGTCAGCGGGCTCACACAGACCCCTCAGTGTGGATGGCGGTCCACCCCAGACAGACGTCTGCTGTCTTGCCCAGCTGGAACCACCACTGCTCAGTGGCCTCCAGAGCAGAAGTGGGTGGAGCAGGGGGACCCACATAGCCCAGGTGGGCCTCAGAGGGACCAGGGGAGCCAGTAAGCAGCCTGGGTCCCGGCACAGGGCTCTGTACCCCAAGCCTGAGTCCCGGCGGGTCCCAGAACAGAGGGATGGGAGAGGAGACAGGCTCTGGGATGGTGGGCTCACCATCACACAGGCCCCCCCCCCCCCCCCAGTTTCTGGTCCATGTGCTCTGTGCTCTGGCTCAGAAGTCACTCTGCCCTGCCCCTGACCAAGTGCCTCTCGACCACAAAGAGGTATGGGCAATCCCTGGTCGCCAGCTGGGCTTGGTGTCCGTGGAAGTTGAGGTCCACCATAAGGTGTTACACATTGACAGAAGGGACCCGGATGGGCAACGCTCCGGCCGTGTGAGCTCCCTCCGGACCCCCCAGCTGCTCCCTACCCACACCCCCCAGGTACACTTCCCCCACCTGGCCCACACCAGCTTTAGCCAGTTGAGGGTGGGGTTGGAAAACTGGTTTCTAGTAAGTTTGGGGTTCTAGCCACACTGAGAACTTGGCTAGTTGGTGCCCGCACTATGCTACTTGGGTCCAGCTGCCCTGCACCCCACTTCCTATCCCAGAACCACAGAAACCAGGGGTCGGGGCACAAAGGCCCACCCCCCCCCACCCCCGTCGTCCCAGGCCTCAAGTGGCCAGGGCGTGCGCACACACAAACGCACACACGCACAGTGTCTCTCTCTCCTGTGTGACTGGGTCAGTGTCCCCAAAGAAACAACACTTTCTTCAGTTCTGTGTCTTCTATAAGAGACAATGAAATGGAAAAAGCCAGGACAGGAGACAGTGACCCAGACACCTCCACCCCGATGTCGTCACCTCGGGGTGTGCTGTCAGACTGAGCAGCCCTGTTCAGCCAGCCCACTCTCGTTCACACCTCCTCCAGGAAGGGGCCTTCGCTCTCTCACCGTGGTGTGTGCACACCAGGCCCACATGCCCCACAGCACACACTGCCCACGACAGGCATGGGCTCCAAAATCTCACACCTGGAAACACACACATTCCAGAACCTTCTGGCACCTCAGGAGGAGGGAGCGCTGCTCACTGGCCAGTGCATTCCCTGGTCTTCGCCAAGAAAATAGTCTGGTTACCAGCAAACGCCGAGCAGGAAAAGCTACAGGCTTTCTTTCAATGAAAAACCTGACCTGTGGAAACCGTAGGTCAACACGAGATTACCATATAGAGGGGACACATCACTGGCCACTGGCCATGTGGGAGAAGCCACTCTGCAGGCCTCCCACTAACAGCAAACACACCTGCCATCCTGTGAGCATCCCACCCAAGCCGCCAGGAACTTAGCCGGGCCTCTCCTACAGGCAGCGTGCTCTGAACACATACATACAGATACATACATGCCTTCACAGGCTCACACACACATTCATACACACGCAAATACACACATTCACACACACATTTATACACAAACACAGATACATACACACGTTCCCTCGTATGCACATGTTCATACACTCACACACAGATACACATGCTAACTCGTACACACATGTTCATACACTTATACAGGTACACACACTCATACGCACACGTTTGTACACTCACACAGATACATACACTCACACAGATACATACACAATTCATTCATATGCAACATGCTCATATATTCAGATACACACATGCTCACTTGTACCCACACACGTTCATACACTCAGATACATACACATATTCACTCGTATGTACACACAGACACATATACACACTCATTCATATACACACACATTCATACACTCAGATACATACAGACGCTCAATTGTATATACACATGTTCATACACTCAAGATACATACACACATTGATACACATGCACACAAATACAGTCACTTGTATGCACACACATTTATACACTCAGATACACACACACTCATTCACATGCACATGTTCATACACTCACATACACACACACTCGTATGCACACACACATATATACAGAGATACACACTCACATGCACACATTTATACAAATATGTTCACTGATATGCACACACATTCATACACACAGATACACACACTCATTCATATATACATGTTCATACATACACTCACATAGATACACACACACATTCACTCGTATGCACACAGGTCATACACTCACAGATATACACACACACACACACGTATATTCACACATCCATACCCAGAAACACACACACAAATATGCACATATTCTTGTACACACATGCACTCAGATGCACACATTCAAACATGCACATACATATTCACACACACAAATACCCACATCTGTACACATACACACACAAATCACAAATATGTACACTTTCACATACAGACTCAGATACATACATTTATACCCACATGCAGATCTGTACACACACTCACATATATACATCACGCACTCACAATACTAGTGCATTAACACACACTTCTACCCACCGCCACACACAGTGCATTCACATTCGCACACCCTGACACACTCTCTCGTATGCCCCGCCAGCTCCACACCACAGTGAGTTTCGACGGGTCCCTGGTTCTGGACCCTGAGATCATAGGAGGCTGGAGCCAGCACTGAGGTGCCCACCCGTCTGCTCTCCACTGGCCCAGAGCAGGAGCTGGGCACACCCGCGAGGTTTAAAAGGCAGACGGTGGGCAATTCTGACGGGCCAGGAGTAGGCACTCAGAGCTCAGACTGTCCACCCGCCCCGCCCCATGTGTGTGAGCTGCCCGTAACCTCGCTTGGCACACACTCCTGCTCTGGACCATGGGCTCTCAGAAGTGAGGGGGGCACACAGCTGCACCTTCCTCCCTACCAGTCCACGCTGGCCTGTTGCTGCTTGTCCACCCGTCTCGGAAGAGTGTGGACAACTTAGCAACCACATTGACTGTCCCTGTCCTCCTGAAAGCAGGCCAGGCATTACCTGAGGGCCCAGCCCACAGCCTGGAGGACCATCTTGCAGCTGAGCCCCGTCTTGGGTGGCGAGCCGTGCAGAGCTCGGTCTGCAGGCAGAGCCCCGTGGCCGCCAAACATGGTCTGGGTGTGAAGGTGAGGGGCACTGGCCGGCAGGCCGCTCCAGCTCCCTCCCTGCAGAGCAGACAAGTGGCCCCTGGGCCGTCCCCTCCCTCTGTCCCCAGCCAATGAGGTTGCGGCAGAGGGCAGGGCTCTGGTCTGAGGGGAGGGACAGCTGCTGGTTCTACAGAGGAAGGCCATTTGCTGACAGGGGGCGTGCCTAGACCCGCTGTGCACCCGGCGCCAGGTGGACGTCCACCCACCCACCAAGAGGCCCTCAGAGTCAGTGGCCCTGCACCAGGGCTCCCCTGAGGCCGGGCAGAGACATGGGCTGGCCAGTCTCTGGAGGCAAGAAGGTAGCCATGCCTGCCCAGAGCGCCTGCTCCCACAGAGCCCACCATGGCTCTGGGAGATACGACGTGCTCAGCCTGCCCTGGACAGCGCTCGGTCCTGCCACTTGATTTGAGTGGTACTGGTTTGCTGCAGGTATGGGAGCCCTGGCTCCAAGAGCAGGCGAGTGCAGACTGACCAGCAGAGGGCCCCATGAACACACTGGGTGCTGGGAGTCCACGTTATACAGCCATCTTAGGGTGCAGACATGCAGAGCTGGTGACTTCCAAACACGTGTCCTGGGGTGCCTTTCTACCCATGACAATCAGGACACAGACTCCTGGTCTGGGAGTGAGGTCCTGGGTACACATGACGGCTAAGCAGGTCCGCCAGCTGTCCTGCCCCACAGGTGTGGCCCACAGAGCTGCGAGTGACACCAGGCCCTCGTGTCTAGTTCACAGCAGCATGCTCAAAGGGTTCCCACGTCACTCACTATGTTACTACATCTGCGGAAAAGGATTTCTCACGTTAAGAGCAGGCCCCACCAAGGCAATGAACAACGCTATTCTTAGAACCTTGTGTCTGCTGCTAAAATAGATCCTGAAAGCTCTGCGCAGCTCCTGGGGCCTCGGGACCTGCCCGGCTCACCACGTGACAGTCAGTTGTCATGGTTCCTTGGGCTCCTCGGGGCTGGGACGGCAGCCTAAGTTTTCCTCGTTTCTGACCATCTTGATGGTTCTGAGGCGTGCGTAGGTACTGGGCAGATTATAACTGGAGGTGGGCTGATCCTGAACCTTCTCCCACGGTCAGGCTAGAGAAGACCCCCTGGGTGAAGTGGCATACTATGGCATCTCATGAAGGGGTCATGCAATGCACACATCACCACCCCCCAGCATACACACTGTCCTGTTTGGAGGGACACCATGAATGATGTGGGATTCTTCTACATGGGAGGTTTGTGTCTTGTCCATCGCTTTATGCCCACGTTCCTGGGTCTCTGTTGGGTCCTTTGGGCTAGGCTCCAGCCCCATCTCATGGACTGTGTTCATCACATTGTCTTGGCCTTGGCTGCTCTGCCCTCTGACAGAGCCCACCACTGTGGGTTTGGGTTGGGGGTTTGGATCTGTCTCTTTCTTTGAGCACATCCTATGTTCTGGAGCAAAGACACCCCAGGTGGCACACTTTGTGCATTTCCTGGCCCAGCCCCCCACTTGGTCACGTGTCCAGCAGAGGCCAAGGTCTGGTGCCCGGTGTGTGCTCGCTGCTCCTGGGTGTCGCTGTCGCTCTGCTATCTCAGAGTAAGAGCACGGAGACACCGGTGTGCACACATGTGTCTGTAAGTATTTCCACATGGGACCATCGTACGGTGTTACGCTAAACACAAGACCACATTAATGTCTCTGGCTCTAGCCCACTGACACAGGGATGCTTCTAGCTGCCTCTCTTAGCTGATGGGCAAATGTGCACGTCCACAGGGAGAAGTGTGGAGGGGTCACATGGCTTGTAACCAGGTCATGAGAACAGAAGTGGTACTGACACCAGCGAAGTAATCCCCACTTGCACCCCAAAGGCTGCCAGGAGTGCACCTCACTGCAACCCAAGCACAAACAGGCCTGCAAAACAGACCCCGTGAGAAGTGCCCACCTGAGAAAGGAGTAAAGTGGAGAGCGAGCCTTTCTGCTCCTGTAAAGATTTGCAGCCTCGGAAACCCTGTGCAGGGTCACTGTGACTTGGAACCGACTCCACGGTACTTAACAACAACAATAAAGAATTAAAAAATTTCAGCAAGAGAGCAATTTAAGAAGAGCTCTGAGAGGACGCAAAAGGACAGAAGTCGGAATCAGACCTATGACTGACATGAATTCTGCAACTCGAAGGCACACAAAACCAAACTATAATGAAGCAGACGTTGGAAAGGACTCTTTTCAATAAATACTTTTGGGAAAATGAAAACAAAACCCTAAGTCAGCCCCTCCCTATCACACCACACACAAATTCACTCAGGGTGGCTCAGAGGGCTGAAACTGGCTCTGCTCTGGGACTTTTCTGTGGATGCTGCTAGATACAGAGGTGGGGGGACGAGGAGTTAAAGGTTATCTCCCACGGGACACCCCCCACCCCCCAATGACCCTGTGCAAAATCCACACGAATCTCTTCTCTCCCCACCTAAGAAACAAGGCAGTCGGGATGGGGCAGAGCTAACGTTTTGGTCCAGGAGCTATGACCCGAGTGTACCACATTCTCCGCACTACTGAGGGAAATGGCCCAGGAGGACGAGCTCAGTGTGAGCCAGGCTGCTGGACACGTGAACTGGACATCACAGACGATGACTGAAGGCATCCTACAATGGATGGAGAAGCCAGCCACGCCGCCATGGTTCACCCAGGCCACCTCAGGACCCAGCCTTCAGGAATCTTGTCAATAGTCACACCGAAATTCCTTTCAACATGCTCACCCTCCCTTAGTTTAAGCACACGTCACTGTTTTTTTCTCTTTCATCCCGTGAGCTTGTAGGTCTGAGTGTGAGGAGGAATGTGGAGGAGGGGGTGTCTCTGTGGACAAAGGGGGACTTGCATTACTGGAGCTAGGGAGCCAGCCAACCACACACAAGGGACGGGCCTTTTCAAGTAACCTGTTACTGAGAAAGGTTACGTACAAGCACCACGGCGACTATGGTTTCTCTACAACGACGTGCAGCTAGCTACCAGGCAGGGAGGGTCAACTCTATTATTTAAGAGTCTAGATCTAGGATCCACAGCTTTTGGAATCACAGAGAGAGATTCTTCTTCGTCTTTGTGCAAGCCTGGTCCTTCCTTTCTCTCCAAGCAGTGCAATCCGTCCATCTGTCGCCCAAGGACTAGAGCAGGAGCCCACACGGGAGCTACTGAAGGTTCCTGCTCACCAATGTGTGCAGGGGGCTCTGTCGGCTGTCCTTCCAGCTTTTGGCAGAGTGCTCCCTGGGTGGACAGCTGGAAGGGTAGCCCGGATAAAGCAATGGCATCGGTACTACAGGCAGCCACACAGAGCAGGGCCCTGACCAGTCCAGCGAGTGACGGTGCGCCCCAGGCACCAACCTGATAGGACAGCCAAGAGCCCTTTCCTCAGGCTCTGCCCCCTGGGTCCCTGGGCTCCCTTGTGACCATGTCCATAACCAGCCAGATGGGGGGGGGAGGAGGGAGGGGGCCCAGCAAGCTACAGTCCAGGGTAGACAGTCATCGCTGTGACCATGGGGACAGAAGGACACAGGTGTGGCTTCACTGCACTGACACCTGACCCCGTGCCTTAGCTGGGGGAGCTCACAAATGCAGACGAACAGGCGGATCCATGTGCTGTCCACTGGGCCTCCCACTGCCAGCCTGTGGTATGCCCAGAAGCTCTGGCTTCAGTCAGCCCTGCTGATCTCTGGTCTACACTGGCAGGGAGTGTACCTGGTAGAACATACACCTGGTCAGGGCGCACACCTGGTCAAGGGACAGGAGCCACTCCTCCTCGTGGGCCTCGTGCCTGGGTAAGGGTCTCAGGGGCAATCCAGAACCCATTGTTGTCCCTAGGCCTGTTGGTGGGCTCATGCCCGCTCCCACTCTGAGAGCTGGAAAGGGAGGCCTTGGTGGACCATGGAGCCCTGGAGACAATGAGCCAGGATCTGGCTGCAGGTGAGGCCCGGAGCACTGCGCTCTGAGCACCCAGCGTTTACACGCCAACTCCCGGAGTCTGCTAGATTAACCGGGTGGGGCTTTCACACCTGTTTCATACCTGCTGAGATTGACAGAACAGAGGGTCACATGTATGTGTGTGTGTAGCAGTCAGCACGGAGAGAACTCCAGGTCAGCGGTGGAGGGAAGCGTCCCAGCTGCTAACTGTCCCTGTTCCTCACTCTCTCTCCACACACAGTGATGGAAAGGCCCCGCCCCACAGGGACGGATGTGGACACAGGTTCAGTGTAGTGCGCCACCAGCAGGGTCACCACACCCTATGGACAGACCCACTCAGCCCTCAATCTAACATGTGGCGCCCGGGGCACACCAGGCCCAGGAACAGGGTGTACGTGTGTGCACACAAAGGTGTGTGTGTGTGTCGGAAGACATGGGCCAATGGCCTCTTGGCCACCTCAGGAAGTCAGACGGCGGTCCCCCCACGCCATCAAGCCTCGGCATTCCCCACTATGGTCAGGCGGGAAGGGCTGTGGGCAGTGCCTAGTCATCCAGCCTGGCCGCTGGCCACAGCTGTCCAGGGAGGAGAGTGTCCAGCAGTGCCAGGCCCAAGCAGGGCAGTGGGGACACGCCCTCCCTGTGGCCAGCTCAGGGTCCGCCAGACCCCCACCCCCATTGCCCCCTGTCCCAGGCTGAGACTCCTCTGACCTCATTGCAGCCCCACCCATAAGCCTCAGGACAAAGGCCAAGGGACAGGACATGGGCCCCCACTGAGCCCACCACCGGGAAGTTGGACACCACACACAAACACAGGCTGCTCCTGGTGCCCCGAGGACACACCCCCTCACCCCGCCCCTCGGGGAGTGTTAGGTAACAGAGGCGGATGCAGGCTCCCGCCACCCAAGAATAGGGCAATTGTGGGTTTGCCAAGTGGCTCTACCCTCCCTGCCGGTATAAAAACCCTGCTGCAAAATTTAGCCTGGACTCAGACCCAGAGCCCAGCCTGGGAGGAGGCGGCAATCCAGAGGGCTGGCCAGGGCT